TACATATTACAGCTGTATTGATGATTGTCCAGAACTACTGAGCTTTGGTTATTTTTAATACATTTGTTTTCCTTGGTTATATATCTATAAGCTGTTATTTCTTTGTAGCTTCTTCCGGTTCTTTCAAACCAGGAACTCTCAATGAGACAAAAGAGACTGCTTTAGATTTTATAAAAAATAACTGCTGGTTTATTCAGAGGATCACAGGTAAAATTCGTCCTGCAGAGGCAGGGGGCCCACAACCTGAGATGACCACCTGGCCAGTTTAGCATACTTATTAGCATCACACACACAGGGGGCCTGCAACCCAGACTACCCACTGTTCAGTGTTCATTGATCAAAATCAAGCTGCCACCTGAGACACACACATACCTAGACTTTACCACATTCCAACAAGGAAGTGTGAGCTCTGGCTCACACCAAATGGCTAATAGGATCATGAACTATTGAAGGTTGCACCCCTGTCCAGGGCGGAGCAGCCCAAGAAGATAAAATGTATTGTAAAAACTTAATTCGGGGTTGAGATAATGGAATTCTGTCAGGGTTTGGCGTGCAGCAATGCCAAATGGTGTTTGTAGCGAACTCAATTATAAAGCCAGACGACTTGAGGTAGAGACAGGTTTTTTACTAGCTGTAACCAAACAACCACTACACAGTCCAGGATCACAATCAGGTTGCAAAAACAGACATCCGAGGTCAGGAACAGAGAGACAGGCAAGGTATGATAGCTAAAGAGTCAGAGCTGGAGTCTAGAACCATCTGGCAGCGTCCTCCCATGAGGACGCTGCCTAAATAGAGATGTGAACAGGTGCACATAATAATGAAACAGGTGAAACTAATGTGAGTGATGAAGAACGTAAAGAAAAGACCAGAACTAAGGTGAAACAAAACAGGAAATAGTGTCAAAATAAAAGCCAGACGGGAAGCAGTGGAACCGAATCATGACAGAATTCCTGTGGGAGCTCTATCTCTCTGATCCCAGTGCTGTATGGCCTTACCTGTGCTCAGACTTCTAGTAAACTTCCTGTTGATTTTAAACAGTCCTCTACTGTCTTAAGTTCTCGCACTTCCAACAAAATAATCGGGTATTTTCTAACAATATCTAGAGCCATTCTGTTTTGCCATGTCATCAAAGAGGTGCAGCCTAATTGCTCTGCTATGACTTTAACAGCATCCCAGGTGTAATTTATAAATCTTTGCTGGTTATAATAAATATAGTTAATCCAGTCAACATTCTTGTTAATGGTGACCCACCAAGCGAGGAATGATTCAAACCCAGCTCCTATTTGGTTCCTTGCTTTAAATTCGTCAGGCACGCCTCGAGGTACTCCTATGGCGTCTATGTAAATCATGTTATCAAATTAACCTCCTGGGGTGGTGCTTCGCTTTGCTCTATGCCAAGGGTGGTCTTTTGTTAGTTGATCTAGCTTGGAGAAGTCTCCAGCTGGGAACATTTTAAAGGGCATAACCAGCTGAATAAGGGCACTTTGGCCTGTCCAATACTTGGGGAGCTCCGGTCGCAGCTTCATATCACCACACATCCACCAGAGATCTGCCCTGCTCTGGGAGTGGTTAACAAACCATTCTCTATGAAAATTGGTGTGATTAGTGGTGATGTTAAGACTGGTGGAACAATAGCCTGGGGGAAAGGGCTGAACATTTAGTCCATAGGCAGAGGTTAGTTCAAAACAAGTGTAGTTACCTTTGAGAGCCGCTATTGATGGAGGAGCTCCTGCCAATAGGTCCAACGTAACTTTAGGGAAGAGCTGAGCCATTGTGGCGCACAGGGAGGAATTGTCAGAGTTAGGTTTATACAATTTCAATACACATTGGAGACCTTGCAGGCCAGTTCATGGGTCTAATCTAAAGGGGGATGTCCCTAGTTGTGGCCTTGCTGTGGCACAAGCAATGCAGCCGCTTTGGTTATGTTGTCTAGCCGTGTAATACATCCATTCTAACCATTCATTTCTGTCTTGGTATCCTGTTTCTAAGGCTAATTTATCTTCTAGCGTCAAGTCACTGAGATACTGGATCTTGGGATTAATAGGGGATGTGGGCACATCCTTGGGAGTGGAGGTGGTTTGGATTGGAGCATTTACCAGGTTGATTTTAATTAGTCCTTTTGGGTCAGTACCAGGTACATCTATACCCAGGACGAGGTAAAAGCTGTTCTTGCCCTTGCTGAGGGGAATTTGAGTCATACCCTGTATAGTTAGTATTAAGGGATTGTGTCCTGTGGTCTCCTTATCTGTATTAGATTTAGGATGACCTCTAATAAAGGCTATCTGATTTTGAAATTTTGACCATAATGGGCAGGATGGAGTGGAAGTGTGCCCTTGGGGACCCGTGTTCCAATATGCAAAACTCCAGTTTGGACACCAAGGTGAGTCAGGGGTACCTGTAGCAAAGAGGCACAAGAATGCATTGTACTCTCTCCAGCTTTGATCTCTACCCCCGCAATCGATTACCTCACATAAATCAAATTGGACAATGGTAGTATGATTTCTAGAGGCTTCAATAATTAGTTTAGTCCCATAAGGATCAGTGGTGTTCATAGGGACGCTTCTTTGGTAGCGTCTCAATAGTTTGTAACTGGTATCACGGGCGGACTGGATTAGAATTTGGACTTTTTGTGTTAAAGCCTCTTGTCCTATCTGCATTCCCCACCACAATGTAGTGTTAGGTATTTTTAGTCAGATAGATATTGGATAGATATTTTATGTATTAGAAATGTTTAGTGGAGATAGGATGTCTAGTTAGACTGTTAAATGCTTAGGCATGCTTATGAGTTTCTACAGGGTACATCTGGTCAAGGATAACTAGAGAGAAGAGTTGATGACTGTCAGCAGACAGGGTGTTTAATATTATTATTA